GCCCCCTGAGGACTGTCCCCATGGAAGGGAGGGCAAATGGGTGGCAGAGGGTGAATTGCCACCAGACTTTGGCTGACTCAAAGGCTCCTTCAAAGGGGTCCTGCATTTGGGCCCAAATGGATCAGCCACTGGATGTGGCCAGCTGGGAAGGGTGTGACCCTGGCCCAGGCCACCTGTGGACCATACTCCAAGCAGCTGAGGGACAAGTGCTTTCTTAAAGAGGAGCCTGAGCAGTGCTTTTCCCTTCTTGTACACAGCACCCTTTCCATGGAGGCAGTCTTTTTAAAAAAATTATTTTCATTTTGCGATAGGTTAAAAATGCAAGAAAAGCCCTCAAATGGTTTGCTGTTGTTGGTGGTGATCAAACTGATATGGGGGAAGAGATGTAACTTCCAAACCTACTAGATATCCAAAACACAAGTTTGTGTTCTCTAAAATAGAAGAACGAATTTTAGGAACAATGGAGGTTGAGAGTAGTAAAAATTTATTGGGAGAAAGAAAGCTTCTAAGAGAGACAGAGGGGGAACTGAAAAGTGGGTTGCCCACCCACCCCACATTTCAAAGATGTTTTATACAGCAAAGCCATGTGGTGAGGTGGGTACACAGTGGGACAAAACTGTAGGACCCAATGGAAATTTACAAGGTGGGCATGAGGGGGGACAAAACCATGACCAACCAATAAGGTTATGAGTACAGTCACCCAGGTAATATTACCCAGGTAATGGGGGAGCAAGTCACATACCAAGTGTACAAGGATTTTCAGTAAGGGCGGGGGTCAGGGATATTTCCTGGAGAGGCTGGGTTAAGACCTTGGCCCCCTACCCAGGTGATTGATACCTGTTTAGAATATCAATCACTGCTTTTCATCCTACATGGGTGTACTAATTTCTCTCCTTTTACAATGCTGGCCTTCAGTGAATGTGTCTTCACTGACCTCCATGTTGACTCCTAGCTGTGTTGGCTCCTGGAGAGCTGGCACCTTGAGGCAGGCCCTGTCTAACTGCCTACAAGATATCTAATTAACTTACCTATCTACAATAAAACCTAGGGCCTCACATATGCTAGACAAGCACTCTACCACTGAACTACACCCTCACCCTTTTTCTTTTTCTTTTTTAAAATTATTTTTAAGAGTAGGAAGAGTTTATCCAGAGAAAGATAGCTTCTAAGAGAGACAGAAGGGGCACCAGAAAGTGAGTTGCCCACTCACCCAACTTCTCAAAGGTGTTTTATGGGACAAAGCCATGAAGTGAGGCAGGTTCAAGGTGGGACAAAACTGCAGTCAACTAGTAAGACTTTAAGTACAGTCGCTTAGGTAATATTGATCCAATGAGAAATCACAAGGTGGACAAAACTATAAACAACCAATAAGATTATGACAAGTATAGTTGCTTAGGTAATATTGAATAAATGGGGATCCAATGGGGAAACAAGTCATGTAGCAAGCATACAAAGAATGAGCAAGGATTTTTGGTGGTAAGGAGTGGGTCAGGGATCTTTCTTGGAAGATCTTAGTCCCCCACCAAGGTGATTGATACCTATTTAGAATACCAGTCACTGGTATTTATCCTACATGGGTGTCGTAGTTTCTCTGCTTTTACAATGCTGGCCTTCAGTGAATGTGTCTTCACTGTTCTCCCTGTTGGCTCCTCCTGGGCTGGCCCTAACTGCCTACAAGATATCTAATTAACTTACCTATCTGCAATATTTCCCCCTCTGAAGAAGTACCCCTAACTGCTGTGAGGGAGCAAAGGGCGAAGACTGTTCTGGCTACTTCCAGCTTAAGAGGGTTGCAGTTGTGATCAGCAGACAGAGTTACACTACAGAGGGTCTGTCTGAAGGTCCTTGATAGGCACCAGACATTGTCATCTTGGGTAGATGTATAGATTTGAGTCTGGAGGAGACAAAGCCAAAGAAACAGTTAAGAATACATGGGCCAAATAATAAGGTCAGCAAGATTGCTATGAATATAGCCAATAAGTGTTTCTACCAGGAGGAACTAGTAATAGCCTCCCACAAAGAGGAGAAGGTCCAAGGGACTTCAGAATCTGACAAGGAAGTTGTACAGCAGTTTAGCGGTTACGAGCTGTTTACAAGGTTGATGTGGATCCTGATAAAAGAAGTCTAGCACATTTGTCATTGGTTCCATTTGTATGAGTTTGGCAGCTTCTAGGCGAGAATAAACAACATTTTAAAATTAAGACACTTTCGAAATAAAAACCAAAACAAAGGCCAGAATTTATGAAACAAAAATCAGGATCTGGGCCAGGGATTTAGCTCAGTGGTTTCACCGCATGCTGCGCAAGAGCAAGGACCCGAATTCAATCCCTGGTACCAAAAAACCCAAAAAAACCCCAACAACAAAAATCAGAATCTATGATACAAAGGGCCAGAGCCTATGAAACAAAAGTTACAATCTATGAAGCAAAAAGTTACAATCTATGAAGCAAATAGACCAAAGTTAGAACCTGTGAAAGAAAATTCTTATCTCCGTACAGTAATCTTGGTGAAAGACCTCCAAAATGATATAGGGGGAAGAGATGTATAACTCCCAAACCTGCTAGATATCCAAAATGCGAGTTCATGTTCTCTAAAGTCGAAGAATGAATTCTAGGAACAACGGAGGTTAAGAGTGGAAAGAATTTAGAGACAACCTACAATGTGGGAAAAAATTTTTATTAGCTGTTCCTCAGACAAAGGACTACTATCTAGAATCTATAAAGAACTTTAAAAAATCAGACCCCAAGGGCCAGGGATTTAGCTCAGTGGGTCCGGCGCCTGCCTCGAAAGCGCAAGGTTCCGAGTTTGATCCCCACTACCCCCCCAAAAAAAAATCAGACCCCCTTAATTTAAAGACCCAATCTAAAAATGGACATCTGAAATGAACAGACAGTTCTCAGACAAAGAACTAAAAGCAGCAAATAAATATATGAAAAAATGTTCAACAACACTGGACATTTGAGAGGTGCAGATGAAAACAACACTGAGAGTCCACCTCACCCCAGAAAGAATGGCTGCTATCAAGAAATCAACCAATAACAAATGCTGGCAGGGGTGTGGGGAGAAAGGAACCCTTCTCCATTGTTGGTGGGAGTGCAGATGGGTGCAACCACTGTGGCAATCAGTATGGAAATACCTCAAAGAACTAGGATTTTTAAAAAAGCTAGGATTAGAGGTCCCATTTGACCCAGCTGTTCCCCTACTGGGTGTCTTCTCAAAACAATTAAAAGAATCATACCACGGCGATATATGCACACCCATGTTTATAGTGACACAGATCATAATAGCTAAAACTTGGAAACAGCCCAGTTCCCCATTGACTGGAGACTGGATAAAAAAGATGTGGTTGTTTTGGGGGGTTCTTTTATATAAAATGGAGTACTACTCAGCCATAAAGAATGAGAAACTAGAGACATTTATAGCTAAATGGATGCACATTGAGGCGATACTCTAAAGTGAAATAGATAGGACAGACATGTGTAAATACCAAATAGTTTCTCTGGTGAGAGAAACTGAAAGTGTAAATAAGAATCAAAATGTAGAACAGGTAATGTGAAATAGGAAGAAAAAGTCTAAAGGGGAGGAGGAAGTGAGAGGAGTAGGGAAAAGGAATGAAGGGAAAGGAAAAAATATGAGAAAATGAAAACAAAGTCTTTGAAAATAGGAAGGGGTGGAGGGGTAGAAGTGAGGGCAGGGGAAGGGGAAAAAATAAGAAACAAGATACATCATGTAAAGGTACAAGTTCCCAATGATGAATGTCATTATATTGTACACCTAAAAGTACCAATAAAAACTTAATTAAAAAAAAGAGTAGAAAGAATTTATTGAGAGAAAGCTTCTAAGAGAGACAAAAGGGGGACCCAAAAGTGGGTTGCCTGACCCTCACCCTTTTTATTGAATTTTGAGACAAGGTCTCACTAAGTAGATTACACTGACCCCAACTTTCAGTCCTCCTAAGTAGCAGAGATTATAAACTTGTGTCACTACACCCAGCTCTCCCAAATGTTTTTGAAATGCATGAAACAAGACATGCTCAATCCCGGTACCCTCCAAAAAATAGACATTGGATCACCAAAGAAACCAATACCACGTATATTCAGGTGTCCAAATGTTACAATATATTTAGATATTGTTCTAAAGGTGCTTCTTTAATAAATCATTAGATAGCAAAACAGTAGTGGCACAATTACTCTTAATTCCAAAGTGGTGATGAGTCTAAACAATTTTTTTTCTGGGTACCAGGAATTGAACTCAGGATCTTGTTTGCTTGCCAGGCAGGCAAGGTGCCACTGAGCTAAATCCCTGGCCCTTAAGTAATCTTTAGAGGTGTCTGTCACCGACACACATGATAAGAGGTTGTCTCCCAATTCAATTTGTCACCGGGCCACAGGTATTACTAATTCCACTGTGGTATCCTGCTTGCCTTAGGGTTGAAGAAAAGGCTGAATTTCCATTACAGGTTTCCCATCCAAGTTCTGGGCCAGGGAAGTGGCTGTGTGTTGGTGGGAAGGTTTTTCTGGAAATTTAGGTTTGGGAAAAAGACAACTTCCTAATAAAGGGGCCAAGGATTTGTATGTATTGTGGGCCAAAGGGCCTGAGGTTGGGGTGGGGGGAGTCCAGCCAGAGCCTCTTCCTGCCTGGAGGGCTCCTTCTGCCACCTGTTGTCCACCCTGCCCATCCTGCCATCGTCCTTGAGGTATTGGAACCCTGGAAAAATAGCCCTTGGTTGGACTGCACACCACCCCCACCACCAAACACTCATGCCCCAGCCAGCAGCCCAAGCTGCCCCAGCCCACTCCCTTCCCTGCGCCAGTCTATTAGTCAGTGTGGTGACTTTGACCCTGGTCTGAGCCCTGCAAATGAGTGGGCCCGCCGTGAGCCCAGGGCCTGACCCACAGCGACCTGCTGTGACCACTCATGCGGCCACCCTTTTAGACAGCACTCACCCGCTGCAGGGCCCAGCATAAAAGGCCGGGCGCGGGGATGGCCACCAGCTGCGCATCCATCCCGACCCAGGACCTCGCACCATGGCCGGCCCCAGCCTGGCCTGCTGCCTGCTCGGCCTCCTGGCGCTGACTTCCGCCTGCTACATCCAGAACTGTCCTCTGGGCGGCAAGAGGGCCGCGCTGGACCTCGATGTGCGCAAGGTGAGCGAGCGCCCAGATGCTCGGACCCGGAGGGACACCCACTTTCCCACCCTACCCTCGCCACAGGGTGCCCCACTGCCTGAGAACACCAGGGTGGGCAGAACGGATTCCTCCCTGGAAGCTGAGACCGAGTCAGCGCCCAGCACCTGTGCTCCTCAGGCCCGCAGCGCCCCGGCCCCGCACCCCCCACCCTGGCCTCGAGGTCCCCACCCCGTCCCTCTCACGCCTCCGTCCTCGCAGTGCCTCCCCTGCGGCCCCGGAGGCCAAGGGCGCTGCTTCGGGCCCAGCATCTGCTGCGCGGACGCGCTGGGCTGCTTCGTGGGCACGGCCGAGGCACTGCGCTGCCAGGAGGAGAACTACCTCCCGTCGCCCTGCCAGTCTGGCCACAAGCCGTGCGGGAGCGGGGGACGCTGCGCGGCCAACGGTGTCTGCTGCAGCCCAGGTGAGCGGGGCAGAGGGAGGGACACGCGGGGACACCGTCGGGGAGGTGTCGCGACCAGGCGACCCTGACCGGCGCTCTGCCTGCAGACGGCTGCCACACCGACCCCGCCTGCGACCTCGAGGCCGCCTTCTCCGAACGCTGAGCCCAGATGGCCCCTGTCTCCCCGGAGCACAGGCTTCGCCCCCCTTTGCCACCCCCAAGCCTCGTGAAAACGAAATAAAGCAGATTTCTCCCTCCAACTCGACTGGTGTGTGTGTATGTGTGTTAGAAATGGGAAGGGACATGAGGGAGAGGAAGGCCTCTCCTGGCTGGGCCTTTGTCCCAGCGGCAGGCTGTTGGTCATTCAGAACAGCAGTGTCCAGCCTGGGGGTCAGGCCGGCAGGACTTCAGATGCCGGCAGCCACCACCTGGCAGAGATGGAGGAAGGAGTGGCCCACAGCATGGGTTCCAGGGAAGAGCGAACAGCCACAGCCTAACGTTTCCAGCAGGGCCCCAAGCCACATGGGAGTGTCCTCAGCAGAGAGAGACAAGATCTGACAGGGGATGGGATGAAGAGGGCAGATCAATGGCTTCCTGACCATGAAAGGAAGGAGGCACAACTGAAGAGCCTGCGGTATCTCAAAGAACTGGACTCTGCTCCAAGGAGTCCTGGGGGAGGTCAGCTGGGGAGGGATCTGAGTACCCCAGGACTCCCCCACTCTGGCCTGGGCATGACAGGACCTGTCAGAGGTGGCACCACCAAGGTGACAAGGACACCTGCGAGCTTTTGGCCACAGAGCCTATGGCAAAGTACAAAGGGCAGGAGAAATGGTTGCTCAACCTGCACTGCTCCTCCCCTCCTGGATCACAGACACTGGAGCATCAGATAACAGCCCGGTCCTCTTCCCTGGAAGGTGCCTCAGTCATAAGCCCTTGTCCTGGCCAGTGACTTCAGAAGGTCTCTGCCCACACCCCACTCCAGGCAGAACAGGATCAGAGCGGCCACTGTTAAAAATAAAACACACCTGTCAAGCTAACCTGGTGGCACACACCTGTAATACCAGCACTCGGGAGGCTGAGGCAGGAAGATCTCTGTGAGTTTGAGGCCAGCCTGAACTACACAGTGAGACTCTGATTCAAAACAAAAACAAAAACACCTAGCTGAGTGTGTTGTCCAACAGGAGAGCATTTGCCTACCAGGATCTGGGTTCTACCCTCTCCAGCACAACTAAATGAATAAAACTTGCCATTTCTGTGGGTTGCTCATAGGCTGAAGCAACTGGGGGAAGCAGTGAGAATGGGCCCAGCTGTCCCCCCAGCAATGTGCAGGGCTCACAGGATAGAGACAAAAATTATTACTAAAAAGAACCATAAGTCAGGCATGGAGGCACATGCTTGTAAGTGTAGGCTGAGGCAGGAGGATGGCAAGTTCAGGTCCAGCCTGGGCAACTTAGTGACTCAGCAGGACCCTGTTCCAAAATAAAAAATGTAGCCGAGATTTAGCTCAGCAGTGTCACACCTGCCTGGCAAGCTTGAAGTCCCGAGTTCAATTCCTGGTACCAGAAAAACAAAAAATCAAAATAAAAAAATGTGAAGAAATGCTGGGGACATAGCTCAGTGCAAAGGCCCTGGGCTCACTGTTTAGTACTTCAAAATAAATAAATAAGACTGAAAGATTTTTGTTTTGGATTTTTGTAGGGAGGGCTGGTAATTGAAGTTTTTGGTTTGGTTCTTGTGTTTTTGTTTTTCAGTACTGAGGATTGAACCCAGGAAGTACCAAGCTAAACCTCCAGCACCTCCCTTTAAAATTTTATTTTATTAGTACATGTTTGCAGTACATGAAGTTTACATTCATTTTGGGGAGTGGGTACATATACATAATTCATCTTGGTTTTTTAAAATCCCTTTCCTTTTTATAAAATTTATTAAGAGATAGTCTCTTGCTAAGTTGCCTAGGCTGGCCTCAAAATTTGGATCCTCCTGCCTCAGCTCCCAGTAGCTGGGATGACAGGTATGCACTAAGATTTTCTCTATATTTATTACAAAAATAGGGAAAATTACTTGATGGTGCTAGAGGTATTGAATGGTGCAGTGACTAGAAGGAATGTCGGGAAGCTTCTTATCATATTCTGTGGGGTTTTGTGTGTGTGTGTGTGTGTGTGGTATTGGGGATTGAATCCAGAACCCTGGCACTAAGCTACATCCTTATCCCCTTGACTGACTGATTGATTGATTGATCAGTTGATTGAGATATAGGTTCTCACTAAGCTGCTATGTTGCCCAGACTGAGCTTGAACTTGCAACCCTCTTGCCTCAGCCTTATAACTCCAATTCTCGGTAGCTGATGATACAGATGTATTGATGAAGATTCATTAAGCTGTAAACATGTTTAGTTTCCTTTTTTTTTTTTTTTTTTGGTACAGGGGTTGAACTCGGGACCTTGCGCTTTCGAAGCAGTCAGTGGAAGCACTGAACTAAATCCCCGGCCCTGTTTAGTTTACTTTTGCCTGTACATTATATTTGAATAAAATAATTTTTCATGAAAATAAGATTGTCATTACCAAAGAGGTTGGAGAGAGAACAGAGATAGGTTTTGGAAAGTGATTATCCTGCTTCTGATTTCACATCTTGGGTGGGGAGGTGGGAGGATTTGCTACAGAAAGGAACTGTCGATGACAAAAGTAGGAAAACTGGGGTCCTGTCAAATGGACCAGGATGACACATTTGATATGGAGAAGTGGGTATTTGAGTTGTTGAGCCTCCGTGGTCCCTTGGAAACTGAGTCAGATTTTTGGTTACTGTGGCAAAATATCTGAGATCAATTTATAAGGAGAGGATAACTTATAAAGAGAGAAAGTTAGCACTTTGGGAAGCTAAGGCAGGAGGTTTGCAAGTTCAAGTCTCACCTGGGCAACTTACCAAGACTTTATTTCAAAAATAAAACAAACAAATAAATAAAAAGGGCTGCAGATGTTGCTCAGTGGAGAGGGCCTGTGGGTTTGATCCCCAGTACCACACCACACACACACACACACACACACACACACACAAAGGAGAGAAAGTTTATTTTGGCTCATGGCCATCCTTGGTTTCAGTCCAGCACTACAAAAAAGAAAAGGAAAAGAAAAAAGATACAACTATGAACCCATATATATCTAACAATGTGCCTGAAAACATATTAAGCAAAAGGGATATAAAAATGAGAAAGGATAATGCAACAATTTTTTGTGTGTGATGAGGCTCGGGCCCAGTGTCTCATGTGTGCCAAGCATATGCTCTGTCCTGGGCTGCACCCCAGCCCTTGCCCATGGTCTCTTGGGACAGTTTCAATGCACCCTCTCAAACCAATCAAAACTCTGAAAGAGCAGTTACGGAGGAGTTCAACAACACCACTGATACCTTTGAACTAGCAGATGTCACCGGGGATTTAGCTCAGTGGTTCTGGCACCTGCCTTGCAAGTTCAAGGTCCCAAGCTTGATCCCCGGTACCAAAAAAACCAAAACCAAAAACAAGCAATGAACTAGCAGATGTCTAGGAAATGCTATACCTGACATCATCACACTCAACAGCTAGAAAATTCGTGACCTGAGGGAGCACAGATATTATTCACAAATAATATTCACAAAATACCTACCATGTACTTTCCATGAAAGAAAACAGTTTTTTTGAGAAAATGATTTTTAATGAATCAGTATTATACAGATCACATTCTCTGACCTCAGTGCATAAAATTAAAACTAACAAAAAAAATCCTCATGCGTCTGCACTCTAAACACATATTACAGAATAACCCTTGGGTTAGCACAGTGATCATCACAAAATGACTGAATACTTAGGCTGGGAAGCTAACGCTCAAGGTCAAAGAAGAATAGAAAATGCAGCGCTAGGTAAGCAACAGAAAACAAGAAAGGTGAGTTTTTGTTTTGTGGTGGGGATCCAACCTGGGATCTGCTCTATCATGGCTCTACCACTGAGCTATGTACCCAGGCCTTTTGTATTTTAATGAGCTAAATATTGAACTTCAGATCTGAGAAAGATCAACACAGAAAACCCAAAATATATGAAGCAAAAAGAAAATAATAAGCGACAGAAATCAGAGCACTTGCCTGGAGTGTAGGAGGTCCTGGGTTTGATCCCTAGCACTGAATAAACAATAATAAAAACTACAAATAGGACCAGGATGTAACTCAGTGGCATTGTACCAGCCTGGCAAGCACAAGGTCCTGAGTTCAATATCCGGTACCAAAAAAACCCAAAAAAACAAAAAACCCACAAACAAACAGTGGATAAAACAAAAAGCTATTTATAGCCAGGTGTGGTGGCACACATCTCTAAGCTGGGAGACTGGGCCAGGAGGATCACAAGTTTGAGCCAAGCCTTGATAACTTAGTGACTTAGTGAGATTTTTGTCTCAAAAACAAAAACAAACAAACACACTGGGGATGTATCTCAATTTGAAGACCCTGGGCCCAGTACCAACAGAAGAAGAAGAGGAAGAAGAAGAAGAAGAGGGAGAGGGAGAGGGAGAAGGGGAGCCGGGGATTTAGCTCAGTGGCACCGCTGCCTGCCTCGAAAGCGCAAGGTCCTGAGTTCGATCCCTGCTACCAAAAAAAAAAAGGAGAACGAGAAGAAGCTATTTATAGGAAACAAATAAACTTAGTCTTTGTTAATAAGATTCACTGGGAAATTATTTGTTTTGCTTGTGGTACCAGAGATGGAACTAGGGGTTTTGCACTGAGCTACATCCCCAATCCTTTTTATTTTATATTTTAAGACAAAGTCTTGCTAAGTTCCTAAATTGCCCAGGCTGTGCTCAAACTTTTCACCCTCCTGCCTCAGTCTCGAACCATGCTGGGATTATAGGGCTATGCCACCATGCTTGGCTTGGTCTCAATGTTTTGCCCAGGTTGGTTTTGAACATGCGAACTCAAGTGACTCTCCCACTTCAGCCTCCCTAATATTGGGGACTACAGCTGTGGACCATGTTGAATTTTCCTCATAACACTTTGGAAAAGGTGCTGCTGCTGTGTGCCCTTTATGAAATAACAGGTATGGAAGCCTGAATACTTCGCCTTGACTCTTGTCACCTGCTGTGACAGCTCCTTGCTCCTGGACAGGCTAAACAGACAGGGGAAGAGCTTTTGGTGCTTCTGGACTTTTCTCCTAAATGGCCCTGCTGTGGGGTCAGGGGGCTCCAGGCCAGGGAAGGAGAGCAAAAGAACTCCTGGGAAGGTGTAGTTTGGGAGTAGGCAGAAGTTTCTCCTCAGAGGTTGGAGCCTTCCTGTTCTGAAGGCAGGAAAGGAAAAAGGGTCTCCGGGTTTGCACCTGGGAAGTCAGGGGCTCTGAACCTTACTGAGAAATTGTCCCAAGAGCAGACATCAGAGCTTGAGGGGCCCCAGCACAGCCACACGGTCTGCCCCTCCTCTCTGGGAGGGTTCATAGATTCCTGTTAGGTCTGGTCCTGCCCTGACCCTACCCCCACCTGGTGCTGAGTGGGCCACACCAGGTAGAGGCAGGAAGTCATGGCAGAGACAGGAGCCCTCCTGGCATGGCCCCTGTGGAGGCTGCGCCTTTGGGTCAAGATGAGGCACAGGGACTTGGGACAGATGGGCAGAGAGCTGAGCTCAGGGCACCCAGACTGTCCAGGGCTGGTCAGAGATGAGCTGCTTGAGTCATTGGCTCTGCCCCACACCCGGGTAATAGGGTCAATGCTCAGGGTGACTTCTCCCTCCTGGGCTTGCTCCCAAAGACCTGGACCAAGAGAGCCCAGGACAGCACACCAAGAGCACAGGGCCCAGATGAAGGATGAGAGGTGACAAGAGGTAAGGGAACAAGGGACAAGGGAGTAATAGAGGGCTTGGGGGAGAATCCAGAGGAACCAAGGAGCTGGAGGGGCAGAGAAGAGAGAAGAGGTGAGGGGGCAGAGAGGAACATAGAGGCAGAGGCCAAGTGCTAGTGACATCTTTGGCCTGAAGCTACATGTGTCAAAGGGTGAGAGGTCCTGGTAAGCCAGGCTCATGCACAAGCGTGTTCATGTACATGTGCCTGTCATTGTGTATCTCTCTGGGCATGTCTATGGTTCTTTCTTTTTTTTTTTTTCTTTTTTTTTTTTTTAATGGGGATTGAA